CCTGAAGCAATCAAACTTCTAATGCTCTTAAAATTGCCCGCCATGTTTTATTAATGGCAGACTATAAAATGCATTGCTCTGGCTGCACACTTCTGTGCTGATCCACGAGGAAGTAGTGTCAGCTTTAAATGGTCGTATTAGACTTTATATTTTCATTCAACAATGTATCTGAACTTTGAATTGTACGGTAAGGGAAAAAAAAGAAAGAAACTTGAGTGTGTTCTTTGCTGAGCTGTAGCCTGAACAAAGCACTTATCTTTGCATACACTGATCTAAATGAATACAGTGAATTATGTGCGGAGTGATTGCCCATTAGCGCCATTAATTGCCTCTGAGTGAACCTGATCTGCTCTTCAAGGACTCTCTTAGATTCTGAACTGTATAAATGGCAAATTAAGGAGGCTTCATTCTAAAAATAAGAGTAAAGCAGAGTAACGCCATGGTAAGGTTATCACCCCCATGTCTCCTGACTGTGCCAACAGAGGGTACTGTTGCCTCACAACATGTTTAAATTATCCCAACAACAAAGATGCAGCCCCCCTCCCCTGATTCAATGTGAGGACATTAGTGTAGTATGTTTACAGTTATATTGATCATGTCCAGTAGCGTTATTGGTTCAATTACATAGCCTGGAAAGCCACAATAACATAAACTATTAATTACCTAAATTAAAGGTGACCTTTGAACTCAGATTGACCAGTATTTAATCTGATCTTGGTGTGGGTGGTCCTGATATTCCAGCCATTCTCAAACAGTTTCCTTATGGTTCCTGCGGAATTTCAGCTGGCATTATATGAAAGGAGAGTTGTAACAATTAATAAACTCATTAAAACATGCAGGAAAAGGCAGTGTGGAAAAAAGGACAAAAAGAGTCATCATGGTCTTTTGGATGTAATGACCATAAGAGCCGATACATGAGAAGGTGAGAGAATGCGTTTGGGGTGGTAACTTCACTGCCTCACAGGGCAGACAGAGGGACACTGCTGCTGAAATAAGTAACGACAGATGAGTGATAATTACTTTTTGTACGGAGCCAAGCGCTGAGCTCCGGGGAGCCACCGCTAGTTGCCTCCAGTGTCCGTGTGTCGTCCGCCGCCTTCACATGACGCGCGTGTTGTGTCTGACGCGCAAACGTCATGGACGCACTTGAACTTGAATCCCATCCCACTCAAACGGAGGCAACCCCAACCACATACACACCCACGCTCGCACAAAAACACAGGCTGCACATAATCTGCACGCAAACACATACACACACACACACACACACACACACACACACACACACACACACACACACACACACACACACACACAAATGCGGGGTCCTCCCAAAACAGAGCCTCTTTCATCGTGTGAGTCAACAAGAAGTAGCCTCGACACTGTAGGAAACTAGGAAACATTGGACCTCAGCTTGTTGGACGAGGAGGAGGAGGTGTCTTGTCTGCCCGCCTGCTCGCTCTCTCTCTCTCTCTCTCTCTCTCTCTCTCTCTCTCTCTCTCTCTCTCTCTCTCTCTTCAATCAGCGAGGCTATTGCCACCAGAGCCAAGAGTTGCCGTTCCGCGCACCGATGCCAAAACGCGCAGGAGGAGTCAGTGCCAAAGGGTCATTTTAGCGCACCACTGCTGAAATGGAAGGACTGTAGGGAATCCTAGAATAAACAGCAGTCATTTGACCCCAGATGATACAATCATATCATTAAAATTAAGAAAAAGGAGAAGGGAAAGGAGCAAATACCCATCCCCGGTGGAGGGTTCCGTACTTCAACTTGTCACCACGGTCGCTTCAGAGGTGGGCAGTCCAGGATTTTTTTTTTTACCTGCAAAAGGTCATTGCAAACATTACCTACCTGCGCACATATCAGCTCATTGGCCCCTTGTAGCCAACTGCTTCCTAAAACTACACTTTGGCTTCCTCAATCCAGGTGTTGCTTCCTCCGAAGACGCGGCAGGACATTGTGGACAAACTGGTCTTCCATCCTTAATTGCGCTCCTGTCCGACTCCTCACCTTCCGAGCGCGCATCAAAGTTGGCAGCTGAAGACTGTGAATAGCAGAGGGATTAGGAGAGGGAAAAGTTGCTCACCTGCGACACAGAGAGGACCGACACCACGGTCCAAGCCGACTCCAAGTGCCGTTCACCGGGCGATGCCAGAGTAAATGCCGGGGCAATGTCCCGCCGCAAGCAGGTGAACCCGCAGCACTTATCGTTGACGCACAGGGAGACAGTACAAGGTGAGTTTAATTCCTGCAAGACTTCTCAATTCATATATGATTAAGTTTACCGGTTTAAATGATTTAGTTTATCATTAATTATCATTTTCAGAGGGAAATAAAAGTATTTATTTGGAAGTAGATTCAAATCGTACCCATGCATTGTTTTTAATCTTTGAAAATGTGCCGGAGCCAATAACCGACAATAACTGTGATTTGTGAAAATAAATTTACCATGTGATGCTACACACACAGGAGGAAACACTGTACTGTGTTGTTGTTTTTAAGTTGCTAATTAGACTGAATTTCAGTAATTGTATGGATTAATAATTGCTGTTTTACACCTTTAAAATTTATCAACACATTTCAGTAATATTTGCGCCTTCTGCAGCTTCATGACTTTACTACGAGAGATGATCTTATGACAACTACATTAGGACTGTCTGGCCAAGTGTGTGTGTGTGTGTGTGTGTGTGTGTGTGTGTGTGTGTGTGTGTGTGGTTAGTGTCTTGCATGTGCACGCACGCGGGTTTGAACGTGTAGTGAAACATTTCATCACATCACAATTTTAAATTTTTTCCAGCATATTGCAACATGTGGCAGTGTGTTTATTTATGTACACTTTGTTACACATTTCACCTGTTTTCTAAATACACTTAATTATTTTGTGACGTTGCACTAGGGCACTTGTATCTTAATTTATACGTATTTTAAATTAAGGTAATCTTTTTCTTTCTCTTCCGCTCTCACTCTCTCTATCACACACACACACGCACGCACACACGCACGCACGCACGCGCGCACACACACACACACACACACACACACACACACACACACACACACACACACACACACACACACATGCAGTCTCAAAATTATTTTTCTTGACACATAAAGGCCTGTCTCCACGTTAAGGTAACGCAATCAAATTGTGCACAAAAATAAGTTCTGTCTGAAATCACATCAAAAAAGAAAACACCACACACACACACACACACACACACACACACACACACGGGCTGCAACAATCTGAACTTTATTAATACGATATTTTAAAAACGAAGGGTCACAGCTTTTCAGAACTGTGACCAAAAAATATGATTAAATTGCGCAGATTAAGTCTGATGCAAGAATATATTTTTTTTTGCGAGCATATGATTAAAAAGTGCCATAATCCAATTTCAAATCAATTATATCAATCTAACCTTCATCTCCCAGCGCTCTGCTTTGCCTAAATCCAATTTCATAGAGGCCTAATCTGGGTAATTCATTGCAGAAGTTCATGATGTAATCTTTGGCCAATCTGTTTTGTGTTGAAAAGGGTTAGGCGCATTCCGTCCCACCCGACACATTTAGCATTTAGACTAATCATTTATCCCATTCACTTCGTCTCTCTCTCTCTTTCTCTCTCTCTCTCAAGTCACTGACTTTGCTTCTATTCAGTGTTCAGTTGAAAAAATACGGTAATTTCAAATCTGAAATCTAAATGTTTACTGTAACCACTGTTTTTGTTATCTAATTGAAGAAGTATGATGCACCCTCAGCAGATTTTAGACAGATGACAAATATTGATCCAGCTTGAATATTGATCTGACAGTTTATTCTCTCTCCTGTCACTCTCACTGTCTGCCAGTTAATTAAGGTGGAGACCGAGTTGATCCCCCCCCAACACACACACAATACATTTTCGACTGTGCAAAATTTTCAACAGTTTCACCTCAGGCATGTGTGTGTACGTTTAACATTTACCTGCATGAATTATGGCAGATTGCAACGTTTTGCATATTTTCGTTTATCTTTGGGGAACTAGTAGAAATTGTTACTGTTTAAACTTTTAAATATTTGCCTCCCCTCCTTGCAGCCATCCACGGGTCACTTTGTTTGACATCTTACACAAAACCTCACAGCACCTGCTGTACAGTCAACAAATTCTTGAAACTGAACATGTGGTGCCAGAATCTAGATACTTGTATAATTAGACTAATAATTGGTTGTCAAAGATAAGCTTTAAATTTCTTAAAATTTTCTTTCCATTCTCATTTATTTTCTTTTTCTTCCTTGTCCTGAGCTGAAGCTGCATTCAAGCGTCTGCAGGGTGCATCTGTTCTTGCCTGAAGCTTTTAATGACTGGCTTTAAAGATCCCTTTTAATCACCGCTGACCTGTCTGCACATACTCGCAAGTGTCAAACAACAAGTTAAGTTGAGATATTTGCAAAATGCTGACAAACGTTTGATTTTCGGCACATGCGGAGGTCAGTGTCGTGCTAAAGAGGCCATTAGAGCAAATACTGTAGGATGCCAAGAAGCTGGGCCACCTGGGCCTGAATCTCGTCCTACCTGTTCTTTCACGCGATACACACACTGTCTCTTGCTTGATGAACTATGGTCTCAGTGACAATGACCTCAGAGGCACAAGGGCAGGATTAAGGAAGAACTGGACCTGTGTGTGGTTTTTTTTGTTCATTTGTTTATTTGTGATAATGGACAACTGGACTTTAAACAGATGAGCAAAAAAAAAGCAATTGTATTATGATAAATGTCCAAGTGCTCTTTCTCTGCGAGTACAATGTGTACGAGTGTGTGCTAAGATGCACTTGTATTTGTATAAAGCACCTATGCTATGTTTACCATACACACAGGCTATCTTAACAACGATACCACATTTGCAGCTGTGATGGATGGGAAGGTTTTTAATGTATCTCACTCTGGAGGCTGCATGTCGCTGTGGGCTGTTTCCTTAAGTTGGGTGGGTCTGAAGAGGTCCAGGATCGCACCTCAGGCTGGAGGATCTGAGGATCGCTGTGGGGAAACCAAACTGTAATTTGATTGAGTCAACGAATAATGAACATTTTGCATATGTACAGCATTACTGTCGCAAAGCGTTACGGAAATGGAGTTAGATAAAGGTGGACTTTCGTGGTTACTTTTTGATATTATTCAATATGTTGGGTTGGTCCAGAGGTCGTACAGCATTTCAGTGTCAGCGGTCAAAGCCACTCAGAAGGGATCTCCTTACACAAGTAATAATATGAAGTTTCTGCAGGGTGCCTGCATATATCAACCACATGTCAGATCAGAAGTTATTCAGTGTAACTAAACTCTGCCTGCTGCCCTGCAGCCATGGTCATACTCTACCTGGAAGTACAGAGAACCTGAATATCAGCATATTTCTGGACAGGATTGTGGTGGAAGACTATGTACTGGAAATCTACTTGCCAGGGTAGACATCAAGAGAGTTGTACAAGTGACTGCAATGCATGTGCACAATACATATACATAGACTGAGTGATAAAATGCAGGGCTACATGAACAAACTGTTTATGTTCACAAACTAACAAATCACATGTAACAAGCTGCTCTGTCTGGGTTGAATTTGACCTTCAGTTTACAGTTCATCCTTTGTTTTATTAAGGCAGACATCCCCTGTAGGCTCTTTCAGGCTCTTTCAGTCAATGATTCAGCTTGGAGTCACATCACCGACAAAGAAACCTATCATAGGAATATCCTTATGAATTACTCACACATTAGCGTGGAACGACTGGTGTTGAGTATCACAGGCCTCCCTTTGCTCAGAGACTATATTTTTTGCAATCTAATATCAGGATTATTATACACAGTCGTTTACTGGACCCAGCCATGCAATGCCTCTTGATAACTGTTTACTCTCAGAATTGGCATGCTACTTGTGAAACAGTTAATGTTTTCGTCTTTATTCACACCATATGGCTGTCAAACGCTGGGGGGAGAAACCCACCGTACGCACTGCAACACCACAGTAAATATTCACACACATTGTGGTAACCGGATGATAATCTCGCAGGAGATGATTGGTGAGCGATTTATGATTTACTGTGAGGCGTAGCAGTTTTTCTCAGATTTTCTTTCTATATTTCAATATTATTGAACACATTTAATCAATTTTGCAACACCATAAAGCTTCTTTATTATTCTTATTATATCTCTTAAAATTGTTTGGCAAATTTGATTTATATCTCCAAATGTCATGCCTCATGGCTTGCAAGTCATTTATAGCAATTTAGTGACAAGTCACAGTCAGCAGTAGAGCCATATTTTGCTCTTTCAGGCTGATAATCTAAGATTTATGATAAGGAACGAGACTGCTACAGATTAAATTGTGATAAGATAATGAAACACACCGGCCTGGCCTTACACAACACACACTGTTGCAGCTCTCCTTGGCAATCGCAGCCGAGAAAAAGGGATAGGCTAAGCGAGTCCGCTTGTTGTTTGAATTTTTGATTGCAACCATCTGCAGCGTTGCTGGTGTCATTTATTTTCAATGACACCGTGAATCTTAACCGACTTTCCCAGTGGGGTTTACTGTGTGTGTGTGTGTGTGTGTGTGTGTGTGTGTGTGTTTGTGTGTGTGTTTTTAGCTCAGCAAATGGAAGGGGAAAACAAAGAAAGGGAGACAGGTCTGAACCCATACAGTATGGTCGACTGTCATATGAGTGCCCCTGGCCTTACTCTGCCTTTACCAGCAGAACAGAGTGTGCAGCTGGTATTAAAATATTGTGTAAGGTCAGGGCTCCAGCGTCAACGGAAAATAGTTTCTGTTTAACGCCGCTCAGAGGAATCTCATCAAATTCACGTCATTAAATAAAAACAAATGTTTCAAATCCAGCAAAATCACATTTTCTCAGCCCCTCATTTAACGTAGGGCAGAGTATAACTTTTCAAACCATGTTGTAAAATTTTCTTGCTTTCACCTTCACCTCAGGCAAAAATGAAAACAACATAAAGAGTCATCAGATGTATAAGAGCACATTAGGACAAACACAATAATTAGAGATTATAGGGATTTATAGGGGCAATTAATGTCAGAGGACATGAGAGGAACTTCATATATGCACCTTGGCATGTTTCCCCCACCTAGCTTGTTTTACCTGGTAACTACTGTAGGGAAAAAACTGACGAGGATGTCACATGTACTCTATCACATACCAGTTTGGACAGCAAAATTACAATGCAACTCTTACCGAGCTGTATGGCAAATATTTAAATATTTTTAAAAATAAAAGAAAAAACTCTCAGCTGCAAGCGAAACAATCTCTCGCGTCTGACAACAGTGTTTCTTCATTAAGTACTTTTTGGCCAGGCGTTTGAATATTTTTTTTTCCACCTTTTACACAAATGGAAATATTGGTGAAAGAGGTCCATTGTCCTCAGCTGTGTCTCCCATCTGGTACACATTGTGCAGTGGCTGTGTGCAGCGGCAGCAGGCAGCAGGCAGCAGCAGCAGCAGCAGCAGCAGTGGAGTGACTGACTGACTCTCTCCTCATCAAACTGATAGGGGGTGCTCTAAGGCTGCCTGACTTAACTCACACTTGATAAGGCAGAGTAGCAGGACTGTCATTGGGTGAATATAGCGCTCTGTATGTGTTTGTGTGTGTGTGTGTGTGTCAGAGAAAGACAGAGAGAGAGACCAAGAGAGAGAAATAAAGTATGTGTGGTATCATGTTAGACAGCTGGGTTTCATTGCTATCATCACGCCTTCTCAACGATGGCATGTTTGACAGTGTGTCTGCTATGCTCCCTTACCTATCAAGCATGTTCCTCTCACATAGGAGTTTATACAGAAGAATTAGACACTGTCTGTCACGATGATAGGCTACATTAGAGTGTTATTCTTTCGTGCGTATGTTTCCATTTCAGCGTGTTTGTGTCCACAGTTTTTCTTTCCCCCTTCAAGCATTCCATGTTCAATTCCTTTTCGCACCTGTGTTTTTCTCACACAGGTGAGCCTCAGGATAGATGAGTGAGCGGGTTTCAGAGAGGGGTGCGGTTTTTAGAAGATGTCCTACTGATATTCGAGTGGCATGCTGTCAGTGCCAACGCCTGCTGATTTACCGCCTTCTGCCCCCCAGGCCATGTTACTCAACCACAGGTTAACAAACAGGCCCTGCTCTAGTTGTCTTGCAGGGAGAAAGCCCAGTTCAAATGCCCAGGTGTCCGTCGTCTCTCAGGTGTCCCGCTATCTTGAAGTCGTATTTTCCTCATTTGCAACACACAAGGATCTGGGTCTTATGCCACCTGTCTTGTTTTCAACATCAGAAATAAGAGCGCGCCATGTTGTTAACAGAGATCTCCTGCATAGTCCTACTTATATGCACTGCACATATGCATGCATGCATGCGTGCGCACAGTTACGTGGCTTGTGTGAACACTCTGGAACATTGCTTCATGTGAATTATGGTCACAAGCTGTGAACTGTAGGTAAATATGTGTTTGTGTTCCTTCTTTGCCGCCAAAGATTATGAGATGGAAATTATTTGGCAGGCATCCAGGAACCCATCTCCATTTAGAGAAAAGATATTTGGCATCGGATCATCACTCCAGGGCGAAGTGAGTGGACTGGAACGCGTGTGTGGGTGGGTGGGTGGGTAGGTAGGGGGAGGTGATTCATAGTTGCAAAGAAATATTCAAAATAAAATAAAAAATGGGTAAAAATGTATGTAATACTGAGCCGAAACTCTGAGCTGAGTTTAACAGTTATGACTGAAAATGTAGAGGAGCAACGCTTCCCTGACAGTCTTTGAGATTGGTGATAAGAGAGTTTAGGATCTCTGCTCTGATAACTACACACCAAGACACAGGCACACACAAACCAGCACACACCCTCTTTGTCTAATCTTTGCAATTATTAGGGTGTCATGTTTGGAAAAAGAGAGAGAAAAGAGAGGCAAAGGGGAGGGGTGTGTGGGTGCTAGAAGTGGAGAAGCAGCAGAGACAGGCAGGCTGCTATGCTCCTCTCCCGGCCATCAACACCTCTCCCTGGGTACCCGCTCACTCAGACGCCCCCCTAGAGTCTCTGGAGCTTCAGGTTTCCTCCGGGCTTTTTAGAAGAGGACACATCTTCATACTGGTACATCAGGGTAGTGTTAAAAAAAAGGAGGAGGTTGTCCATGAGGGATTTACGTTAAGCTGAGGGACTCAGTCTACGCCATGGGGGATGGGGGGGTGTGTGTGTAATGGTTATTAATGACCGTGTCAGATCTGTGAAGAATGAGATTTACTCTCTTAACAGGACCCCGGGTTTGGCTTTATAGATTTTCTGTCTGTGGAGAATACAGTGTTCGAACTCACCTGTGTGCTGCTCCATTCATGTACACACTCACTTAGACATCTTACTGTTTTTCTCTTCTCTTTCTCATTTTTCTTGTCTTACTCTCTGATACACACAAACATGAACACACACGCACATGCACACGCCGGTGGATGTGGCCTCCGCTATGCTACACTTTGTTCTGCACAAGCTGGGGCTCCCACGTGGTGAAGGCAGCCGTCTAGCTATGACAGCTCAGTGCAGCGAAGGCCCTCACCGGAAACCCAGCCTGCACTGTGAGATGAATAGCTTCCTGGCCACACATACACACGCATACACACACAAATAGAAGCACTCACATACATACAGTGTATGTGCTGGCTCCCACCCACGCAGATCTCTCACAGATAAGCTGCGCAGGTGTTTGTCTAGGCGAAGTAGCATTACAGGGGCGTTGTTTTATGCCATGAAAGTGACACAAGTGTGAACGTAATGATCATCACATGTGGGAGGGAGAGATGGCTTTTATCAGGTAATGTTATCAGGAATAACTTAAACCTCACTGTGTTTTTTTTTACTCTTCCTGTGTCTCTCACCGTCTTCTATGCTCTTTTTAACTCTTAAAAAAAGAAACACATACCGATTTACATTTGTCACCCCCTCTTCCCTTCTCTGCAGCAGAGGCCAATCATGATTCAGGGGCAGGATCTCCATCTCTGGAGCCATCCACCCCCAGCCCTCGGAGGGCAGGACCCGGGGAGCACGATATGCTGACCTGTGGCCAGTGCCAGACGAATTTCCCTCTGGGCGATATCCTGGTTTTCATAGAGCACAAGCGCCGTCTGTGCCGGGGGCCTGGAAGCAGACCAGGGTCCTTCTCCAAGCCTGGGGAGACTGGCGGGGTCATGGGCATTACCATCTCTCCTGGGGCCAGGTCACTGGAGCGGGGTAGAGGGTCCATTCCGGTGGAGGTGGGCGTCCAGGTGACCCCCTGCGGAGAGGAGGATGTGGAGAGGAGGCTGACTCCAGCGAAGGGGATCTGCCCCAAACGGGAGAGAGGAGGTACGGAGACAGGAAACACACTCTACATTTAAAGGATGATACAAGAAGGACCAATAAGCAGGGGGCTCTTTTGTCAGTATAGATGCACATGTTTTAAACACACACAAAGGTGCAAAAAACATGCATGCACACACACACGCACCAACTCTCTCACCTGTCCAAGACAGATAGCTCTCTTTAAAGAATCCAAGCTGCTTGTTATTTTGACAGTGGCCTTCAGGAGGGATTAATGTAGTCTGGGATGATTTCATTAGAGTGAGTGAGAGCTGCACCGTATGTCTATTCTGCTCCGTAAAAGTAAAACATCACACACACACATCCGCACACAAAATCACACACACCAAACAAACACACCCTGGCAGGCCTGAAGGACTTCTTCAGCTGAAACCAATTGTGAAAGGCGAGGAAGAAGGTGATAGAGGAGCCGCCCCTAGTGTGTGTGTGTGTGTGTGTGTGTGTGTGTGTGTGTGTGTGTGTGTGTGTGTGTGTGTGTGTGTGTGTGGGGGGGTGGGTTTGTGTTTTCATTTTTTGCTTGTGTGAGTGCACATCATGCGTCTGAGCGTTTGTGAAGAAATCCTGCAGCATATGAAAAAAAGAGGTTAAGAAAGCTGATTAAAATTCATCTGTGTGCGTGGTGAGGAGAAGGGGATTAATAAAGCAGCAAGGCCGTTCATCTGTCGTTTTTTTTTTTGGGTGGGGGGTGGGGTCGGGTGGGGAGTCAGAGCGAGGCCTGTAGACTGCCAGCGCTGCAGGGAAACCAGTTCAAAGTTATCAGAGGAGACAGTCACCATCACACCCGAGAGCTGGGAAGGCTATCCAGGATTACACAGACTCCAGTAGACTTAGAGGGACTGTATTGTGGAAGTTAGCAGCCAGAATTACATGTAAAAAGATTATACAGTTAACACAGAAACTAGTCACCACAGTGTCTTAAACTGGTATATATGGAGGGATTTAAATAGTAAAGATTAGACTTTATGATCCATTATGTTATGTTATATGTATGTAATTATAATATAGTGCGTTAAAGTATTTAAAAAGTCCTAAAAAATATAAGTGCTTTAAGACAGTAAATATTGTACAGTCAGGCTGACTGACTTTATGTATTATAATATAGACCTATAACATTCACACAGCAGTGAGGCATAACAAAGTTGTAATAATATTCTAATTATTAAATAAAGTGTTTACATAACTGTCACCACAAATTCAATAACTTGGTGGTTATACTGGTTTATGATATATTTACACAAGCAAAGGTGGACTAGGAGAATTAATGTACAATGTGTGTGTTAGACTGTGGCTTTTCCTCTTCACAGCAGGTGCACATCTTTTTTTTAATTATTACATTTGAGTGGTAAAAATCCTTGAGATTCAATCATCCCCGACACGTACACACACACACACACACACACACACACACACACACACACACACACACACACACACACACACACACACACACACACACACACACACACACACACACACACACACACACACACACACACACAGAGAACCCACACGCTTCAGGTATACTAGTCTATAAGGAAAGACTTTAGAATTTAGTTTTCTTTATCACACATACTTTCAGTTTATACGTTAGGATTCTTAAAGATTAAGCTGGTGTGTGAAATATTGCAAAATGTTTTGTTTAAGTCTCTCAAAGGTTCAAAGTTTCTGGGCCACAGATATTATTGATTTGCACATTTTGTTCATTTTAGAATGAAAGCTGGTGGAGACATCTTTTGTCATCACTGCAGAGATCAGCACACAAGCAGTTTTTGTGTGTGGCCAGCAGCTGTGTGTGGTCACCATCTCTTGCAGTGGGAAAAATTTATTGAAGGAGATCACAAACAGTGTGTGACAGCACCGTTTTAGATGCCACAGCCAATTTTTGAAAATGAAAACCATGAGAATTTTGTAGAAATCATTTTCTTTAAATCAAATTTAAAGATAGGAGAAAGTCATAATTTATCACCTCCTATAATTAAAAAAAGTTGTGACAGCCCATCAATGTCAAAACATTTTTGTTTGCAATTTGACTTTTGCTAATTGTCATCAAATCAGCTATTTTGGAAAATTAATGAGCATTAAACCCACCTAGAAGCTCTACTGCAGCAGAAAAAAACCATGCAGCTCATTTGGGAGCTGATGCAATGAAAAAGACTCGATGAATTTTACATGGCATTTTGTCTGTTAGGTGGTCAGAGAAAAAACATTTAGGCAGTTAGTGAGTGAGTCAGCCTGTTAGAGCGGCAGGCAGTTAGTCACTCACACAGACAGACAGTCTTATCACTAAGAGAACAGGACATGAAAGCACTCGAAGCCCCAAATGAAAGAGAGGAGGAGAGCTTTGTTCAACACATTAGATTGCCACTCAAGGCAGTCTCAAGTTTCAACCAAATTAGATTACATTATTAGGTCTAATTAAGTCCAATGTGTTAACAGCACACACACTCCCAGGCGCGCACACACACGTAAGGAAATATCATCACATTTGCTTGCACATGGTATTGAGGACTTTGCAGTTCAAACATTTGCAGCACAGGTGATGAAAAAAGACAGAAGGAAATGAGAATATGTATCAAGCGTAACACAAACCTGCACACACATAAGTACAGAAATGTATATGTACCCATATTGCAGTCTTGCGTTCATGAAATACCTGTGCTGTATGCATAACCCTTAACCCTCTCCTCTCCTGGATTGTTTTTTTTTACCTGGTTGTGTTTTATAACATCCTGTCTGGCCTCTTTGTCTGTCAGCCTGCTTGCTTAAACTGCAAACATGCTGCAAGGCTAGCAGATTCAACCCTAAAAGGTGCAAACACACTCACACAAACACGCACACACGTGCACACACGCGCTCTCTCGTACACTCACACGGTGTAGATGAAAAATGGCCCTTCTGTGCCCTATTTTATTTTCCTTGAGTTTGTCTTGCTGATGCATGCACTCTGTGTGTATATCTGTGGACTCCGTCAGAGTATATGTTAATATGTGTGTGTGTGTGTGTGTGTATGTGAATTTGTGTATGTGTACATATGCGTGAAGTGTCTGTGAAGAACGATGCGTGTCACCAGGCAAGCGAGAGGTTGTCGCTAGGGGAGCGTTACCATGCTAAGACGACCCTGGCCCTGCTTTGAACCCCCTCCCAGGAAAGCTGCCGGGCCCCCTCGGAGCACTTAAAGACATCTAGTACATAAGGGCAAAGCCACATCATGACACCCTTTCTCTCTCTCTCTCTCTCTCTCTCTCTCTCTCTCTCTCTCTCTCTGTCTCTATCTCTATCTCTCTGTCTGTCTGTCTGTCTGTCTGTCTGTCTGTCTGTCTGTCTCTTTCTTTCTCACACACAAGCAGTGTGTGTAGAGATCACACAGTAAATATTTCATGAGATCATGTGAACGACAGCAACATCCTCAAACATCTCTCTCACTCTCTTTTCCTCTCCGTCCACCTCTGATCCCGCTGCTGTCACTTTTGTGGGCATACCACTATATTAGGATAAGACTATATAAGATTTTGCATTGGCTTGTCGTTTTTTTTTTTTTTTTTTAATCTACTTACAAGCTCAATGTGATACCGATACTGCTGTTCTTAACTGAATCAAAGTGGTACTGGGTTCATGATCAAAGAATTTAAATGAGACACCCGCCACTTTAGAACTGTCACACCTACATATACGGCATTTTTGCAGGTGCAAAAGTATTTTTGAAGTGCGCGGCTTTTTAACATAATAAGATCGTTTTTTGTTCTTGAGCCAATTTGTAACAAGCCTGAAATGACTAATAGTGGTTTCTAGATGAAAATGTGTGGTGTAACCTACAAAACGTATGAAAAGTGACTATGACCTTTGTGCCCCAGGAGGTCAATCTGCAATGTTCGACACTTGTTTCACTGCTGTCACTAAATAAGTGTGACATTCCAGTTTCCACACTGGTGTGGATTTGAAGGTGTCTCTCTCCTCTCTCCTCTTCTTCCCTCTCTCTGCCCCCTCCCCATCTTTTTTTTTCTTTTTGCCCCACCACCCGATGCTCCTTTAATCACCTGGCTTGCTCTCATTTCCATATTAAATAGGCTTTAATCATGAAAAGCAATCAGGCTTTTGCATATTCATACCTTCCCCTGTACGCCGGCTTCCCTGTCTCGCTCCAGTGCCAAGCAGCCAGTAATCAGTAGGCAGGCGGCGTAATGCCATAGCCCCGGCCCATCGCATGAAAACACACACACTGTGTGAGTTAGAAATAACTTCACATGCTACTTACGCATTATCTCTACTCCAGGAGAGAGAGAGAGAGATAGAGGGAGAGGGAGAAGGGTAATAGATAAAAAAAGAAAGATGGCGAGACTGATCCCTGATTTGAGCTGCGAATATTTGTACAGAGGCTCAAGGAAAAGTCGATTTGCATAATGACTTTGTAGTTTTGCATTAATCACATTTGCATATGAAAATGCGTTAATTACTCCTGATGATTTTTTTAAAAAACTTGCTTCATTTGATGTCCAAGCTCTGGGGTTGTGATTAGGGGTTACATGGTGGCAGTTGTGTAGGTAGTGTGTGTGTGTACTTGTGTGTGTGTGTGCCTGCAAGTGTTTTCTCATGTGTGTTCATGCTTTTGCAATTCTGGTGCAGTCTGTGTGTGTTTATGCGCTCTTACATGAGTGTTTTGAATGCTTGCCAGGGAATTTATCTTGTGTCTGCTGTTAGGCATGTGTGTCTCTTTTCATTTTCTCTCTGTGTGTGTGTGTGTGTGTGTGTGTGTGTGTGTGTGTGTGTGTGTGTGTGTGTGTGTGTGTGAGTGTGTGTGTGTTTCACAGTTTCTGTGAGTGGCAAATATTTCCTTATTACTCTGTGGGAAAAAAGAGGAGCGGACTCCTTCCCTCCATTTAATTTTTTTAATAACATGAACACACACTTTAATTTATGATATAGCATCTCCATCTTTCTTTGCACTTTTACTGCAGTAGGACAAAGAAAAAGAGAAAGTGAGAAACAAGATATTGTTATGCTAGACTTTTTTTAAAAGAAGAGGATGTTTCATATGATTATCTGAAATTATCTTTAATGATAATACTGATTCTAAGAAATACAATAGAGTTTAAATGTCAATGCTATTTCCTACAGCAATGCAATAAACAAGCCAGGCTGAATTTAACTTTTGAAATATTTTAATGCAGTTTTTTTTTTAATAATTAAAAACAAAATTCAAGACACATCCAGTACAATTATTTCCATTTAATGCCCTTTGTTTCTGTGCTTTTTATATATGCATATAATTGCATGTGCTATTGCAGAATGCTGCATGTGACTCGCTCTGTATAAACAACAAAAGTCATCCCTGCACAGCCACTTGTAGGCACTGGTTGA